CCTTCAGACACAGCATTTTGGGCACTATGCTGATGAAAGCCTCAACTTGCCACTGACACACTGAACACAATGGCCCTGATCCTGCCCTCCCGGGAGCTCTCCTGAAACCAGCAGACATTCAAGTATGTTCAAGCTCACCTGCTCTAGCTATTAGCATCCTAAGAAACCACTGTCAGAAAAAGATCACCAAGGTGACAGACATGCAGAAATTCAAGGGAAAAAGAAACTAGAACTCCATTGTTTGACTCTAGAGCTGGAAAGATACATTTTTATCAAATGGACTTTGAGCATCCATGCTTCAGAGGCCTTCACAGCTGCATCAGTTCAAAGGGCACAGAGAACACCACCTCCACTCTTCATAGTGCATTGCTGACTTGAAAGATTTATAGTGGATCTCCTCCAAAGATGTACGCTTTCTGTTTGGGTTGTTCCTCCACCACCCACATTGTCCTAGCGATGATTCATGATGTCCATGTGGCCACCATAAGAGTTTGGCAGGGGAAAGCACAGTCCATTTGCACTTTTCTCCCAGAGAAACACGAAACTTCTCTATCACTCACAGCAGAGCAGCAGTAACCAGTACACAAATGGGAGTAAACACAATGCAACCAACAACATCTGACTTGCAAATTATTACATGACAATTAAAATAAATAAAAAGGGGAATTCCAAATCTTTTATTTTTTTAACTGCACTGTAAGATCTGGGCCCCAACCAAACACTAACACCCTTGACCTTTAACATATTCCAAACCCTTGATAGCCATGACTGCTTTTCAAGCTCTCTCTTCCAGATCAAAATTAAAATACATACACTTCAAAAATTTCTATCTGTATAATCCAATCTAGGATGCTTTTATTGAGCTGAGCTCAGTTATGCATGTCTGAGTTCAGATCTTGAAACTCCTTCAGCCAAACTCTGCTTTTGTGTGCTGGACTGGCTCTACTGAATGCATGAGTTCCCCTGGTTTACAGCAGCTATGGATTACAATCTTTCACCAGGAAGAGATAATCTTAAAAAGAACTCAAAACTATAACGCTTGCATGTTAGCAAACCTTATCATTAAGAAAATGCTGTTTATGCATCATCATTTCAAACACAAGTACTTTATCCCCTCGCTCACACACAGAGCACGGAGCTCCAGCCCCTTCAGTTCGCTTCCTGCTGCCATTTCCTGTCACAAGCCTAAAATGAGAGACTTTAACAGACTTCTCATTGGCGAGCTCATGGCAATAGCTTATAGTACACGTAATACAAGGCCGTTATTTTCATAATGACATCCTAGTATAATTTGGGGAATATTCTTTATTTTCCAGGTATTTCTAGGGAGAAATATACATATCTGTAGTGCTGTGTAACTAAGTAAAAGCTATTCTTTATTGTTCTTAGAAGCATGTTGTATTTCGGTCACAAACATGAACAGTTTCACCTTTTACCGCATTGCTAGTAGTGAGTGAAGAACTGCCTGGAAAGTTCAGAAATAGGCTTTGAGTGTTGACCTGAGGGATAAAACTTAATTTACTACTGAGAGCCCCAACAGCAGTTTCCTCAGTTTTATAAGATGTGCCGATTCATTGCAGGCACTGATTCAGACCCCATATTCAAGGTACACCCAGATTTTGGAGTCTATGAAACAGTTAACAGGATAATATCTCACTGCACAAAGATAACTGCACAGAAATTTTTTGGGAAAAAAAGTCTTGCTATTCTCATCTGAAACACGGCACAAACAAGCCAAGTCAAGGAGCTCTATGGAGTATGGCATGCCAAAAGCTATTAGATGGTTCTCTACACTGCTGCTCTCTACCCTTGTCTTTACTAGGAGAGCTAAAACAGGCAGCAAAATTGGGAAATCAAATACCACTTGCTAGCATAGACAAGGCTTGTGAGCTGTTAAAATGAAACTCAAAGAAAATAACGTGTCCCCTGCAAGCTGGTGCATCTTCCTGCCTTCACAAAGGTGCGATTCTTTGACAGGCTCCCCAGGCAGCGTTGCGCTCAGAGAAAGGGTGCAACAATGGCAGGGTCACACCAGCGACACACTATCCACCCACTGCGATGTTTATTGTGGCTTGCTTTGCTTCTGAGCAGCTTATCAGTGCTTTTTGCAAGGTGCTGTGCAGATCAGATCTGCAGCGAGCGAGCTCCCTGAGGCGAGCGCAGGATCCATCTCCTCCTTCCACCCAGTGACATTTCTAATTGATAAATCAGGCTGCAGAACTAAGCCTTTTTGTTCTATGTTCATGCAGTCTAATGCAACAACAACTAAGCATGGACACAGTAATGATAACTGAAATTGTCTACAGTTTATAAAAAGGAAAGCTGCAAGTCTCAGGTCCATAAGATCCTAATTTTCAGGCAGGCTGGGACACTCATCGACCTCTGACAACCTAAGCACAAAGGCTTAATTCTCAATCTGCTGCAGTCAGCCAGAGTCTGATCAGCCCCTGCATGATTTGCATATCCAGCTCAGCTCCTTATCCTTCCTCACCTCAAGATATACCTATTAAAGAAAGCAATCTTCACCTTAAAAGCACTTGAGGGCATAACTGTAAGAGGTATTGCTGCATTACAGTACATGGATACAGAGAGAACAAGCTCCCCTTCAGCATGAAGCATAGTTCCCCCAGATAACCCACTGCAAACTACACAGACTTCTGATTCAGACCAAAGATTTGACTCTGGGCCTCCCATCCTCTAAATTCCCCCTCCACCAATCATTTATTCAAGTCCAGCAGACTCAGACTGCCTGCAGAGGGGTGGCAGGATATGGAACACCAGCATGCAAATCCCTGCTCCAGACTGGGCACTGCCGCTGGGATAAGTCATGCCTCTCCACTACCAGGAGGTAAAAAAAAGAAGAAAAAGAAAAAAAAAAAAAAAAAGCAGTTTCCCCAGCAGTGAAGAAAAGCTTTAGATTTAGTGTGGAAAATGTTGTTCTTTTTACTTTCTAACATCTGTTTCAGCCAGAGCCTTCTCTGCTGTTATATGGAAATAGGGACAGGACGTTTTGGATGTTTCCTCGAAATGGCATGAAGAGCTACCTCTTTTTAGTGTATCATCTCCTTTAGTTACTGCAAAACATTCTTGGGACAGGTACTGTCGTGGGCTGCCAAGCATGTTCCCATGCACCTTCACAGTTTGCTGACATTGACGGAACAGTGGCAGCACAGTGGGAAGGAATTAATACATGGGCTTAAAAGGAAATACAGGGTGCCAAGAAAATGCTCTGACTGCACAGGCTCATCTGAACCTTCAGTTCAAGGGCCTAGAGCCTTTAATTCTTGGTGTAAAATAGCATGGTTTGCTGGTGATGTGGGAAGAAACTGGGACCCATAGCATGCTTCCCCCCCGCCCACCATGTCACCAGCTGATGCCCGCATACATTAATTTTTGGCTCAATTCTTACTTTTTACCAAAAGCAATACCCCATAAATGATGCACATGCTGCTCACTTGGGTGATGCAATTTCTTAAATCCCTTGCAAGTCACTGGATATATTGCTTAAACTGCCTCTACCTTAGTTTACCAACAGAAAACTTAGGAGCAACATGTTTTCTTAACAGCACAAAAGGAACACAAAGTTTCCATAAAACAGGCTGCTACTTTTTCATACTGCAGAGTCCTCTGTCATGCTGAAATCAACAGGAGTAAAGGATGGTTGAGTCTGGCCCTTCATATTTGCAAAGAGCTTTTTTGATCCCTGGACCTTTTTGTTATTATTTAGAGCACATTATTTAGAATACAAAAATCAAGCCTATTGAAGGGTAAATTAAACACGTCCAGACCATTTACAAAGAAACAAATGTCCATCTGCAAAAGCCTTAGAAAATCCAATAAAATACACACACTGCTTAGTGAGGTGAGATGAAATGCCTGCATGTATATATTAGACAAGAAACAATTCATATCTGAAAAATCAGGTAACTGACTACAGCAGAATGCATTTGTTTGCCTTTCCTCCTGTAAACAAGAAAACTTGGATTTCTGGCTGCCCACCTTAACCATCAGATCATGCTATGCATATTTTCTGGGGTCAGGTATCCTTTGAGTTAGAAATCAAGTGATTATTATAGCATGCCATTATGAAAACATAATAAAGAGAGCTCAGCAAAGGCAGTAAAGATGATGCTAGGCAACTAAATAACTGCGGGTGACCATTCTTTATTCCTATTATTTATATTCATCCAACACCAGTCAGAGTTGGGGACCATCTTGCACTGGCTCTGTGCAAGTCGAGCAAATAGGTAGATAAGATGAAAAGAGGATCGACAGTCTGCCACTTATTCCTCCTTCATGGTTGCTCAAGAGCTAGCAAGATTGGCAGGATATGTTTCAAAAGAAGCAGCTCTACTAGGAATAAAAAAAAACAGCATTGGGCTATAACAGAGGGCTTTTCTCTTGAATTGAATTTGATTTGGTTTGCTACAGTCTGAGTCTATATAAAAATAAAAAATATGGAAGATTAAGTGATGTATTCTTATATCTCAGTATATGTATAAAAATAACTGATATAAAAATATCCGTTATGCACATTTTTTGCCCCACAGACTTCTAAAGGGAAAAAAAATGCAACCTTTTCTTGTAGTTCACATCAATAAAAAATGTTCATTTCAATTCAATTATGATTTCTACATGTTCCCTAAACATGAGATTCAAAGAGCATAGAGGAACATGTAACAGTCATCCCGTTTCTTTGGTAACATATCC